GCTCTGTTGATTCTTCCTGTCTCAATTGTGTTAAAACCAAGGATTAAGACCTCTTAGTTTTGGCAAGTCTTTTTTGAATTTGTCACTTTAATTAGCTCTGGCATTTTATCTAGTTTGCTTTCATTAGTGCAATAGCCAGAATCCCCAAATTTTAAACTCTCTCTCTCTCTCTCTCTCTCTCTCTCTCTCTCTCTCTCTCTCTCTCTCCACAGTCATTGAGGGAGAATTCCAGTCACTGAATTTTGTTCAAAGAAGAATCTTGGCTTGGCTCTTTCCTAGAAACTAGGCTCTGGTCACAGGACACAATTCGGGTATAGCATAGACCCCCCCCCCGCTGCCTTCTGAGGAATCCTAGCAGTATCAAAAGTAAAGCAACCAGACAAGAAGTTTGTCTGATCCCAACCTTGTGCTTTAACAATGACACAAACTTTCAGTTAGACCAGTAACTTGGTCCAAGAGGCAAGTGGAACGGCTAACTTTAGAAAGTCAAAGCTTTGTGAAAAGGCACAGGAATAAATCTCACTGCTTGATAATTTATTCCCAAATACCTTTTATTTCTTATAAAGCCAATTTTAAAATGTTGTAACATTTTTAAAGAATCATTTTTATGACAGAAGTCTTGCTGGGTTTGGGAGGAGTACAACAAGAAGCCAGTTTGCCCTTCCCATAAGCCACACAAACCATGTGGGGTCCAGGAAGAGAGAAGCCAATTCACCCTTCCCACGAGCTGACTGGTGCATGGCCTGAGAATCAAGAATCCCACACCCCACCACTGCCCCCATAACAACTGGTTGTGTTCGGGGGGCAGGCTGAGTTGAGAGCAACTGAGGTACAAAAACAATGAAATGCTTGTATTGTTTGAGTTTGCAGGCCCAAAGCCAGTAGTCTGAGCATCTATTAGAAGTATAACAGTATGCAATAGAACAAATATGGCAATTTCCTTCTATCTTATTTTTTAAATTGTTGTTTAATTTTGCTCTGGTTTGTTTTATTTAATGTTCTGTTTTGATTGGTTTTGTTTTGTTTGATTTTACTATGTCTAATGGTATGGACAACTATTGTGAAGATAACAAGATACATTATGGCAACCATTGTTGATTTCCTATTATCCTGTTTTGAAGTTCTGTACTATTTTCACTGTTTTGTTCTAATTGGTTTTATTCTGTTTTACTTTGTTAGGTTTTATTCTCTTCACATTAAAAAATTTTAAAGAATTATATCCCCACCATCCTTCACCAACATGTTAGAAGCGGTACTCATCTGTGGTCAGAAAGCCTGAGCCCCAATTCTCTGCCATCTTCTAGCTTGCATGGCCAGTCATTCAATTTCTTCACCTACCAAATGGACTTTAAGCTCCCACCAATGAAGCTGTCCTCAAGGTTATTAAATGGATTTAATAATTGTCAGGAACTTGCTGTATAGAAGAGTACAGGTTAACTTCTGAATGTTGTACTTTTTGTATTGCCCTCCCTGATCTAAGACCTGCCTCAGTAAGTGGGGATGAAGCAGGTGCAGAGAGGATATCAGGGTACCTTAGGTGGGTCAGAGCTTCATTTGTCTCTGATCCACTTGGCAAAGCAATGGATTCACTTGTGTCTGTTTCCGTATGTCTCTGCTTGCATAGCAGACAATGCGGCTACTAGCTCTTCTCTCATCTCTGCTGGGAACTTGGGGGGGGGGGAAGAAGGCTCCCTATTTAGAAATTGCATTGAGATGGAAAGACAGTATGACACATTGGCTCATGTCAAAAGAGCTCATTCTTTCCGCCTACAGCATTAGCAATTTCCTACCAAGGTTCAATTTTTTAGAAAATTATTTGGTTTTAATATATTTTGTTTGTAGCATAACTCAACAAGGCATTGCTGCTCAGAGCAGGGTGGGTTCCTCTAAAAGGAGCGGTGGGGGGCAGGGATATGCACTTCAGCTGAGGAAAGGAGGGACAGTAGTGGGGGGGTCTGGATTCTGCCTCAAGCCTTCTCTCATTCTGCCTCCCACCCCATCTCCAGTACCCTTCCCTGCTTCTAAATAGTCTGGCCTGAGGGCAAGAGACACAAAATCTCCTACCATAGCTGTATGGTAGGCGAAAGCTGAAAGCAAAGGAGGAGGAAAGACACAGGTGGGTTGTTCAGCTATAAAAATCACTTTTAACAGTGTTGCTGCTAGAAAGAGCCTCCAAGAGCTTCTAAAGCAGTTTCAGATAAGGACACTGGCCCAGCCAGAGGCTGTGACTGTCCCCTGGTTGGTGGGGTGCTTGGATCCTGAAATCCAGGCCTCCTGGTGCCTGACTAGTGCCCTTGCCTGTTTTTGCTTCTCCTTCTCTTCCTCCACCACCACCCTCACTCTCAGGGTGATCTTTCTCTAGAGATAGGACTGAGGGACAACAATTCCACTTCCTTTTACCTTCTCCCCTCTCAAGGCTTGGATGGAACCCTCGGAGTGTGAATTTTGTCTCCGGATGTGAGAAGAAGCAAAGATGTGCTTTGAAACTGGGCTTGTGAGAGAAAGAGGGGAGAAAAAGTCCCCATCTTTACATGGGGAATTTTTACTACTTTGTAACTAGTTATGTGACCACAGTGGTATCAGCAACTGGTAGGAGGTTGGGACGCAAAGAGAAAAACTGGAGTGAGGCTTTAACACTTAAAAATATTTTAAATGTCTCTGAGTGAATACGCCTTTTCATGTGCATCTATCTTTCTGCCTCGATCTCTGTTCTTAGTATTTCTACCACCATCTCTCCATGTATCTCTGCTTCTCCATATCCCTCTGCTTTTCTTTCTGCTGTCACTGTATTTGTCTGTTTCTTTCTCTGTCTCTCTCACACACCCTCAATCCCACACTCCAAATATAATAGGAACTCAGGAGCTCCAGCCTCCTCCCATATCTTTGTCTGGACAAAATCTCCTTTACTCTGTTAGGCTGAGGAATGCCAGGTCTGGAGCTGCTGCTGGAGTATCAGAGATGCCGCAGAACTGCCTGCCGAGTGTGAGGGCTGAATCCCAGAACAATGAGAAATTATCTGTTAATTTTCGGCTCCTGCCACCTGCTCTGCTCCGGAACAGGCTCCTTTGCCTTCAGCTTAGATGCAAATTCCCCCACTGGATGTAAGCAAAATATTGATTTCCCTGCATCACAGGCCTGGGCCCTTGGAACTGTCCTATGCTTTTTCATTCTCTGCAAAGGCAAAACAAGCTGCTTTGTTCTGCGAATTTCTCCAGGAACTCGAGAGGGGGAGGGAAAATCGCCGCGGAGTGACAGAGTTGCCATAAGCACGGGCAGAGAGCAGTTCATCTCCATTTGTGTTTTATGTAAACACAAACCCGCAGCTTCGGAAACTGCTAATGAGTATGTAGCCAGGAGCCTCATAGCTTTTCTCTCTCCTGGGTGCTGAGGTCTACATTAGGTGATAGAAGGGAAAGTTATGGGGCTTCTGTGTTCCTCAGGTGGGTTTTTAGAAGCACCAAGAAGCCAAATAGGGAATCAGAACCTTACCTGTTCTGCAAGCCCCAGCCCAGCACCAACAGCAGGTAGGTGGCCTAGATCATGGCTTCTCGGTCCCTCTCATTTCAGATCCAAGACCTATCATATGGCAGACGCCAGGGTGAGGACTCTGTGAACTTCACACTGCCCCACCCCACCCCCAATTCAAACCCACGCATGATTCCGCCACAAGTGCCTTGTTTCCATCTTGTTTCCAGTGATGATTGCATCAACTGATCCGTCAGCACCGTGGACAGAGACAGAGCGTGTCTAGAGCGCAGGAACCGCCAGACTAGGCCAGGACTAGGTCTCTGCCTGGCCCTTGGTGCCCAGGGCTCTAGCTGCCCAAGTTTCGCAACTACAAGGTCTGACTGGTGCAGATGGTGCATGAAAGAGAATAACAGGACCTGGGATTCTGAGTCTCCTCTATTTGGAAAGTGAGTCACTGCTGGAGTCACTTCCAATTAGCATTAGAAGGAAAGAACCTCTTCTACCCTCCACCAGGCACGCACTTGCCCCGCAGTTTCTGGAGGCTGCTGGTTAAGTTTCCTTTCCAGTTCTGGTAAGCTCCCACACAAGAAGGGTCCACACTGCTAATAGGTGGAGGATGTGAGGCACTTATAATAGGGCCTTGCAGGGCCCAGGTCGCCTGGCTATTATCGAGGACCCATAGACCTCTAGGGCTAAGTGGGACATCTGGACTCAAGTAACCGGCCTCTGGGCCTCACTCCACAGTTCCTGAGGGGGAGCTCTGCCTTTTGAAGTCCATCTTCAAGCCTCTCATTCAGTTTTCTGCCTTTCCAGTCCCTATTATGCTTAACTAAAAAAGAGACCTATTTGTGATGGGATTTCACTGATGCAGGGAGGTGGATCTGGCAGGAACAGAGCACCTTCTTGAAATGCCCCCTATTTCTCCTATTCGCCAGAAACTTTCCCCTCCCGTTGCCATGGAGAGAGACAGCCGCTGCCTCGCGTTGCCGTAGAAACATGCGGTACCGCGGACCGCAGGATTGCGGGGCTTTGAAAGTCTTCTTTGCAGTTTGCGTCGCACGGCAGTCTTGGGGTCTTCTGCCTCCAATGGTGGAACTTAAGGCAAACCTGCCTAACTCCTCCCATCAGGAAGCTCCGCCAAGGTGCTCCCGTTTACATCTCTTGTGGGGTTACCTATTTTTTGCCACTTGGGTGGCATGTGGCGGTTTACTAGGTGTTTTTACAAGTATTATCATTAAATCCCCAGGAAGACCACGAAGCACTCGGTATCATTATACTGTACCTCTTTTAGGGAGAGGAACCACTGAGGCTCACAAAAACCAAGGTCACACCAGGCAGTGAACACGGAGCCGATCTCTGGCTCTTTCCCTGGCCTTACACGCCCTTCACGGTGCAGGGCAGCGGGGCTGGTACCTGCCCGGATCCAGGCCAGACCCCGAGTGTAAGGGGGCGGCCCCGAGGCGCCAGACTTGCCAGCTGCAGCGGAATGCCACGTGAGGGGCGGGGACCCTGCGGGAAAGTGATTAAAAGCTGAAGGGAGCCGCAGGGGGTCGCTGCGGGGAGGGTCTTCTCGGGGCGCCCAGGCCGGTCAGGGCGCGGGTTCGAGCTGCTGCTCGGCAGGCCTGGGTGTCCCAGGCATGAGCGAGCTGTGGGGGGTCGAGGGGCCGCGGTGCCGGGCGGCGCTCGCTGTCCTGGCCTCGCTGTGCCGGGCCCGGCCGCTGCCTCTCGGGCTGGACGTGGAGACTTGTCGAAGCTTCGAACTGCAGCCCCCAGAAAGGAGTCCGAGCGCTGCCAACGCAGGTAACAGGAGCCCCGGGCCCCTTCCTTTCCTAGATCCGTGCCCTGGCTGGGTCCCCTTCCTAAAGCAACGACCCAAAGAGCCCCGGAGCCTGAGCGACAACTCCAGCTTGGGCTTCTAGCTTCGCAGCCGGGCTGACCAGTGCCCCGGCCATCGCCCCTCAGGCTCGGAGAGATCCGAAGGGGACTTGGGAGGAGGAGCGCCCCCGCCGCCTCGCTCCTGTGACTCCTGTCATGACCCCCGCGCGAGGCGCGGCCCCGGGGCGGAGGCAGCCCGGAGGCCTCAGTTTCCCTCGTGTCGCTCTGCTCGCGCCGCGGGCACCTTGCCAGGGGAGCGGTCGGCGCATCCGGCAGGCGCCGAGGGACAGACAGACCGGCTGCGGAGGACAGCTGGCTTCCCGAGTGCCCCGGTCCCAGGGAGCACCCGTCAGTTGGTCTGCCGGGCGCGTGGGTCCTCTCGCGGAACCCGGCGGGGCGCCGGCTGGCAGAAACTTGGGTCTGCGGCCGGCACGCGGTCTTTGCGCCCCGCGCGGCGAGCGGCTGCTGCGTCTCGGCGGGGGGCGGGGCGGGGCGCGGCGGGGGCGGGGGTGCGCGAGCTCCCCACCGCGCGCCCCTATAACTCGCGCCCTCCGTCCCTCCGTGACTCACTCGGACTCCGGCCGGCGGGCGGGCGGGCGGGCGGGCGGGAGCGCGACGGAGCGGGGTCTCGCGCCGACTTTGCCGAGAGGGCTCCTGCTGCCCGCGCCGCGGAGCCCTGCGGGCCGGACGCACACTCCGGCGGCCGCCGCGTCCGGGCGGGAGCCCGAGCCGAACCGAGCTCGCCCAGCCGGTGAGTCCGAGCCCGACCCCGCGGGGCCGGCGCGCGGCTGCGACGTCTCCCGGGAGTCGCCACAGCGGCGGTGGCGTGTCGTGCCCTGGCGGCGGGAGCGGCGGGAGGGTCGGGAGGTGGCGCCGGCTGTTCACCCGCCGGGCCGGTGCCCTGCGGCCGGCCGCGCTCGCCGCCTGCGGCGGAGCCCTTTGTCCCAGCCCCGGAGGGTGCAGCGCGGGGTCCCGTCCGGGAGGGCGGGGTGGGGCGGGGAGACCTGCAGGGGCCAGACGCCGAGGCTCACTGGGGCTCTGCACTTTCAGACCCCGCTGTCCTCCAGCCCCGACCCTAGTAGTGCTGGGCCTAGGAGTACTGGGGAGTCGCCCCACGGCTCCTCACCGACAGCTCCGAATAGGGGGGCGGGGATTCCCCCCCACTCCCCCCACCCCGCCCCGTGAGTCCCCAGGGACCAGCGGCCAGGGGCAGGAGCGGGGTTCCTGCAGCTGGTTCAGGTGGGGAATCTCAGTGGCTGCACGTACCCGAGCCTTGTTTTCGCTTGGGGTTAAGGGTCAAGGAAGGTAAAGGTAGAGTTAGAGGGTAAAGTTAGAGGTAGAGGTAAGGGTAGGGTAGATTCCGGTTAAGAACAGACCCATCGGGAGGGAGTTAGCCAAGGGGAGGCTGAGGGCGGAGGGCAGGTTGCTGGATCCAATGTCAGGGTGAGTGAGCCCACCTCAGACCTGTGTAAGCTATAGAGGGCACTGGCCTGGTCCTAGCGATATTTAATCAATGGATTGATTATTGCAACAGGAAAGTTGAAATCAGAAGAACTTTTTTTAGTAATGAAGATTAGAAAGAGGTTGGTTCTCCCTCTCTGAGATTATCAGAAATAATTGGGCCCGGCAAGTATTATTAGACTCTGGTTCTCTAGTGCCCTCTCTTTTTCTTCACCACCCAACTCTGCATACACCCACCAGACAGAATTTTGCCTAAGTCGCTTTCTCTTTTCCCCTACCCTCGCTCCCTTCCATCCTTTCCTCCAGTGATCCATTTCCAGTGGGGCTCTAATGCTGGTTCCAGCATTATGAGCCTAAAGGGTGAGGACACACCTGTCGAGTTCCACCTAAGATGAAGGCTGCCCCTCCTTCTCTGTCCAGGGCAGAAACACTGGCTGTGGGGATGAGGATTGTTGGGGTGTATGTGTGCAGTAAATCCTCATAGGGCAGAAAAGCCTGGTGCTGTGACTCCTGAAGGGTGCCCTATAATCTGAAATGACAGGTGCCTGGGTGACCACGGTGAGGGTGGCAAAAACCTGAGGGTCGAGAGCCAGCAGGGCCAGATGAATCTGTATGCCTTCCCTGTAAGCTGATTCAGAAAGCAAGTTTGAGTTGTCAGCCCTGGAGAACTTTAAATTTGACTGCTGAGTCACAAGCCCCAGGAAACCTAGGGCCAAGCTGGGAAGCTGAAAGAGAAGGAGAGGCAGATACACGGAGACTCTGGATCCAAAAAAAAAAAAAAAAAAAAAAAAAAAAAAAAAAAAAGCAGTTGAGAGTGACTGTGAGACCTCGGGGATCTAGATGAGCACAGGGCTGGGAAGCTGCAGTGAAGTTTAGGGCCCTAGGAATCCTGCCTCCCGCCCTATTCCCTACATCCCAGAGCCAGTGTCTGGGTCCAGATTCTCTAGACAGAAAAATTCTGAGTCTTTTCACCTGCAGTTTTATGAAAAAATGCAAGTGAGTAGAGCATGCTTAGCTCCCTTTACCATTTTATGTTTTCCCTTTACTTCCTTTCCTTCTAAGCTCGTAGAATTTCTAGTAACACCCTGAGACTCACTCCACTATCATTTACTGAGACCCTCCCATGTGCCAAGATCTATGTTAGGAATCACACCAGAAATCTCAGTTAGGCCCTTGGAAGCATCTGTACCCAAACTGCCCCAAATAAAAGGAAATTTCCTCCTTTTCTTTAAAAACTCTAAAGGCAAAGGGTCTGGTTTCCTCCTTAATGTGCCCCGAACTAGACATTCATAGACAGTTCTCCACCTTTTTTTGTGTCACTTGCCTCTTGGAAATGCACTTTTCCCATGGGACAAATTGCAGGAGATTGGCCGTGAGAAGAGTGGGTTCTGGGCTTAAGGTAGAAAGCATAGATCCAGAGGTGTTACTGGAAATGCAGAAATCTGAGAGCAGACCCAAGCTGCCTATCCCTCCCAAAGCAGGCAGGCAGAAGTGGTTATTCTCATCTTACCTGTGGCCAAGAGATGTATGTGATGTTTGTTCACTTTGCTAATGACTCTGGAGACGTTCTGGGATTCAGCTTGGAAGTTGGCCTTTTGCCACACAGAGAATGTTTTTTTTTTTTTCCTGTGTGCAAAGGCGAATTAAAATGTACAATGTTTTATTAAAACAGAGTTCTGGTTCTACAACAGAATAATCAACCACTCTCTCACCCTTTGCTAAAAGAAAGAAATCCTGCCTTTAAGGAAAGGGGCTATGCAGAGTCTTGAAGCACATAACTGCATAGTATTCTAACTCTAGTGTGTTTTTAGCTCCAGGATTCTTAAAGCAAAGTTCAATACATAGGACTCCTAGAGCTCTCAGATTAGAGACCTAGTGCTCACTCTTCTTCTGACTGTGAGGATTCTAGATCCAGTATACTTCATCCTTTCAAGCTCTGTGTGGAAGATGTGTTCCTTTCCAGTGGTTATAACTTTATTTTGTCTTCCCTGTCCATGGAGTTTGGAGATGGGAGGTAGGAGGGAACATGTGACCCCAATATGTTTGGAGCAGGGAGCTGGATCAGGCTAACTTTCCTTAGGGTCTTTGTAGGTCTCTTTAGAATTGGAAAAGGCATATTAAGAGAATGTCCTGAATGAGCAAGGTGGTATCCCTGCCAGTCCTTCCTAGGTAAAGTCACCTCTAAAGACTGGGTTACTTTAGGAATTGCAATCAGAAGGACTTTTGACAGAGAAACAAACAACATCCAAATGAGGTATAAAGATACCTCAGCCCTCCCTATTCTTTCAAGGGCTCTGAACTTGTTCTTGTTCTCCAGGGACCCACACAATTCTCCCCCCTCGTGAGTTGTTAGTACAAAAAGAGAAAGGATCGCAAAGGGGAAAGGGTCTTTCTGTGTTTTCTCTGCCCATCCCCTGTATGGCTCTAGCCTTAATTCCCCACTCAGAGAGGTCGAATTCCCTGACCAGCCAGGCAGAGAGGTATAGTTACCATCTGCCAAAATAATAATACTAATAATTGCTAAATTAGTGTCAATGTTCTGTTAGCTATAACACTCCACATTAGTCTCCGATTTATCTCTCAATCCTCTAATGATGGTGGAAGCAGGCGCCCAGTCATAAAGCTTGGTGCGGCCATAATTAGCTCAGCATTGTCTCTCCTCATCACAGCTTTTTCAGGAGCATTAATTCCTTCTGTGTTTGGACTCTGCTAATTATTCCCATCAGTAACTGGGCCTGGATCTCTAAAGAAGGAGAAGAAGCAATGGCTCTCTGCTCCTCTCCCCCAATCCTGAATTTTAATTATACTCAGTTTGACTAATAAATTTATAAGCCACAGCAGGACTTATTATTAATGGCTTATGTCTACGAGCCTCACTACAGAATAGTTTCTGCTCTACACACACACACACACACACACACACACATAGACACACACACATATTCCTCACGTACATTTCCTGGATGGTACTTTTCAGGGGCCAATGCTTATTCACCTGGTGGCTGGCAGGTAACTTGCAGTATGTTCTTTCCAGGTAAAAAGAAGAAAGACGGATCATAACCCAAGTCTGAAGGGCTCTGCCCAGATTCTTGAGAGTCAGGCCAAAGAGTAGAGGCTGCCCCATCTTCTCCTGGCTTCAGCTCAGCAGTGACTTCTCAGGCCCTCTGCCCAGCCCTCAACTGTGGTTCTTCAGCTCCACCTCCAGTCACCTGAGATGCCTGGGTCAAGAGCCTGAACTTTGACATCAGAAAGTGTTAGACTCAAATCCCAATTCTTCTGCTTAATTCACTGTGCTTTTTAACAAATTACTTAGTTAACATTTCTCCTCTACACTTGGTTTATTTATCTTTGGAAGTTGAAAACCAATTTCTGTGGGAAGCTATAAAACTTAAATGAGATTAACATAAAGGCCACAGTGCTTACCATGTCAAAATAAATAGCAATCATTAGTGTTAATGTTAATGGTTCTGTCCAGAATCTCTTCACTCCATAGGCTAAATGCTGTTTCTGCCGTGCTCTTGGGCCTCTGTATCACTGGCTCTGGGCCCTGAGTAGTGAGTGCATTGTCTATGACTCCATCTGTGTCTCAACCAAAGCTAGTCTGAGGCAACTCCCTGTTCTGTACAGCCTGAACTCTTACATTTCTGCAGGTCCACCAGCAGCCCCAAGCCCCGCGGCCAGGCTTCTCTAACCGTGATGGCATTGGGGTGAGCAGGGAAAATGGTCCTGTCTTTTCAATTCCTCTCCACAGTTTATCTTTTCAATTACAATGTGTTAGCAAGAATGCCTGTTACTGTTACAAAATGGATTTTCCTGACATGGGAGCCCATTAGAAAAATGGGAACAGTAGCAAGCGATAAGAATGGCTGATGAATCCTAACACTGTGGGTAGAAAGAAGGGGGGTGGGTTCTGTCTTTAAAGACACGTCAGTGGGGCAGATAAGCAAGCCCTGGGATGCTAATTTTTAACCTAGCATTTTCCAGAAGGGGAGGAAGGCCATGGATCATCACCCTACCAGTCTCATTTAAGGTGACAAGCAGGTCTCACCCTAATGGCCTTCAGGGGAATCTTAGCTTCCTAGCATATAATAGAGGCCTGAGTCCCTGAGATGCTTTGCCTTTTGATCTGGCATCTCTCTTCTCTTGGGTTTTCCTGTTTACAGTAGACTATTAAATTCCACCAAAAAGAAAAATCATGAGGAACAATAGCAGCTTATATTTTGGAGCATTTATCTTTTACCAGAGGCTGTGCTCAAAGTCTTAGCTTATTTTAATACTGATAATGATCCGATAAGGTAGGAATAATTAGAATCCTCACCAAGAAAAGAAGAAACCAAGATTTGGAGTGGTGAGACAATTTGCTATAGGTCACAGAATGAGAAAACAATGTGATAGAATGGGCTTTGTGGTTTTTCTAGCCTGATGTTCATCTGATATGTCTGCCCTCTTTCTGAGCCTGTTGTAAATTCAACTGCCCAACCAGGAGGTAAAAGCCGTATACCCCTGTACAATGCCTTATCTCTGATGTAGGTCTCCAAAGCCTAATTACATAGCTCTTCTCTTTTGAAGAGGCTCTTTCTCATTAGCAACTATAATTTCCCAAATCAGAAGACTATGGCTACTGGCGTGTCTCTGATACCTAAGTGAAGAGGTCTCATAACTAATATGAGTCATGCACTGATTTCCTTCTATTTCCAAGAAAACTTTGCTAGAGTATAGGATATTCTCAACTGTAGATTCTCCTTCCATGATTTTCTTCGTAACTGTTTGGAACTTGTACCTGCTAACCAGCTGGGTAATGGTGGTAACAGTGCAACTGGGCCAGTAGCAAGCAAATGAATACCAACAGAAAAGTTTGGTGATGTGTGATCTTTCACGTAGTATATATTATGTCTCGGGATACAGAGGAACTTGGCTGCATATGAAATTGTTATATTTTTTCTCCAGTAAGACTGTTCTTGGCTTGTAGTGATAAAGTGAAAGTTATCTCTACTAGTATTCATGGCTTGTGCCGGGGTTCGGATCACAAAGTTTAAAACTGAAGGATATTTAGGACTAGATTGGGCATCGGTAACTCTAGTAAAAATAGCTAATGTCTCTATATAGCTAACTACCTTCTAGGTGCACTTCTTAGGTCTTTTGATACTCTTTTATTACCCCATTTCAGTGGATGAGGAAATTAAGGCTGAGAGGATTACATAGTTTCGCAGAGTCACACGACTTAAAGTCATTGAAGATGCACACTGAATGAACTCTGTTTCACTCCAGTATAATACTTCTTTCTCTATATGTTGAAGGACAAACAAGGAAGAAGAATCAGAGAAAGCACGCAAGTACTGAGGGAGCACTTTCTCCTTCCCAGTGCTAATGGAATGCTTCCCTCTAGGATTTAGCCTAGTGCGAGGTATATAGATAAGAAGAGAGCTGGATTAGGACTGAGAATGTAACAGATTTACCCATCAGAATTCTATCTGCCTCTGGGGGTTGAAGTTTAAACAAGATGTGAATGGAAAAGAAAGTTTATTTGTGCACCTGTGACTTTCTAAGGGGGCAATTACAACCTGGTGGGTTTGCCCTAAAAGCCCCAGGTAGAAAGGCACACATCTTAGTGATCTAGGCTCATGCACATCCCTTCCCAGCCTCAGCACACCTGACCCAGGTGCTATAATCAGGATCTGGAGTGTCCAAATGTCCATGTACTGAAAGTTTGCTTCCCAGGGTGATGCTGTTGGCAGTGAAGAAACCTCTCAGAGGTGGGGCCTAGTTGGAGGTCTTCAAGTCATTGAGGGCATCACCTTGAAGGGGAAAGCAGGGCTCCACCACCTTTCTTTTTCTTTCTTTCACTTCCTGGCTATGAGGTAAGCACTTTTATTCTACTACGTGCCTCCACCATGAAGTGCTGTGCGACCCAAAACAACAGGGCCAATCAGTGATAGACTGAAACCTCTAAACACTGTGAATTAAAATAAACCTTTTCTTTTTACAGGTTGATTATCTTGGGTATTTGTTATAATGACAGAAAACTGACAACACACTGGGAATAAAGACTGGTTGTAGGCCACAAATAGTGATTTTTAATGGAGTTAAAACCTGTACAATAACCTCCTCCCCCAGCGTGATTGTGCTCATACTGACTTGGTTACCATCTTGTGCCTCTGTATGGATGAATCACTCACTGTTTGGGATCTAATTGTCCTCTCCTTGCCTGCCTGGCAGAAATCAAAGCCCAGGCTCTCCTGAGTCCTGGGTGAAGATTTTTCCAGGCATAGGACAGACCTCCTGAGATAACCAATATTGAGTGCTGAGTGCTGAGTCCCAATAGTCCATACTCCCGTAATCACATCTCCAAGGGAACAATGGCTGGGGGAGAGGGGTCACATGGAGAAGAAATAAAAATAGCAACCACACTGGGAAAAAAAATAAAACAAATAAACAAAAAAACATTCCCCTGGTCCACCCTTCCCATCTCTCTTTTCATTTATAAATTCAGAGGGTTTTTTTGTCTGACTGAACATTTAAATGCACTCTATGCTCTCTAGATTCTCCTCATTCCCCCCTTCTCATTAAAATTCTAATTATTAACAGAGCAAGTAAAATGGATGATCAAAGGAAAGCAAGGCCTAGAAATACCTTTTGTTTTAGGAGACTCATATTGCAAAGAATGCATGCGGAAGAGCTGTAACAGAAAACAGATGTGAAGGGTCTGGAGATGGCCAGATACTTCGAATAAGGATACATATATCTGTAGAATTTTTCCTGGGGAGCCCAGTAAGATAAGGGCTTGGAGAAATTGCCTGTAAGCCAATTAGATTAGGAATGCAGAAAAAATTGAATTGTTGTCTCCAATACATGTATATTTATCCCCAAGCTATATACAGGTACATGTCCTACAGAGGTGATATTGTAGAGCTGGGATAGCTGAGTTAAAGCCTATTTTCACTCCTTACTAGCTGTGTGACCTGAGCAATCCTGTATCTGTTTCTACATTTGCAAATGAGGGTAATATTATTCCAGTTCAATGGAAAGGATTAAGCAAGGAAACATACAAAAAGCACTTTAAACCTTGGATGTAGTAAAGTTCAATAAATTAATTAAAATGCTATTATTACTATCAAACTATATGTTAAAATTTTGATTTCTTACGAACCATTTTTGGCCCCCAAGCCTATTTAGAGCCTAGTACCATCAAAAAATATTGGTTACATATTAATGAGAGATAATCATAGTTCTTTTGTATTCCATTCATGCAATCACTCACTCATTCCCATGTGCCAGTTTCTAAGTTAGTTCACGAGTCAAGCAGTGTGAAAACATAGGGTCACAGGAGCCTATGAGAGCCTGTAGTCTAATTCGGGACAAACAGGCCAGCACAGTGGAAAGAGTACCAGGCTAGAATATAAATGTTTAGATCCTAGTGTAGATTCTGCAACTGACCATCCTGTGGTCTCAGATCCTTTGGGCCATAGCTCCCATATATAGAAGTAAAATCTAGCCCTAGTCTTTGTAGGATTGTTTCTCACTTTTAAGTCCTAAGATTTTTAAGACATTGAAGCAGGCTGCAACCTCTCAAGCCTGAAAGGACTTGGCAGGGAATAAGGAGTGATGGATTGAGCTGGTAAAGATTCACTCATACAAAGGGAGCCACCAGTTCCTGCTGTGCAGACATGGGGTCCAGTTACCAATTCATTGGCCTCTTCCAGAGAATCTGGGCTGGTGATGATTATATAATTTCTTAACTTCTCAATCACTGTGCAAGCCAAATGGAACTCTTCTACTAGCTTATCCACATTTTTGCAAATCCTGGTAGGCTACCACTGATTCAGAGCCTTCTGATGTCTATAGTCAGAGAAAGAAGATGCCTTGGGCTTGAAAGTTTATTCTTAGGTTTTGGGAGGGAAGTGGAATAGGAGTCTATTTAACAATTTCTCCCAAAGAGAAGCATTCTGCATAGTACTCCTGTGATCATGGGCATCCCCCTGGGTTAAGAGCAGGCTGGGTCCCCACCTCCAAATCAGCTACAATGTTCAAATGACCAGCTTTATACCAAGGCTCTCAAATTGCCAAGACACACAAAAAAGCAGCTATCAGAATCATTCATAGTTTGTATTTAGCTTTGACATATACCACATGGATCAGATTCCAGCCTGATACAAGTATATGTTGAGCTCTTGGGTACTCTGAAGCACTGTTCTGAAAAGCTAACCCCTGCCCTTACGGATGTGAGGCTGACCCCAGCACCTTGGAGTCCTCAGTGTGTATTCAGCTCCAGGCAGATGGGGGTGAGATGAGGAGAAAAGAGTAAGTTAGCCTCACAGTCCATAGGGGAAGATAGCTGTACACAAAAAACCACTTTGATGAGCTTGGCCATAGTAACGCCTCTAACAGAAATTCAAAACAGCATCCAAACATGAACGCTTTATGAATTTGCACATTTGCTTAGGCTGCCATTTAAATTACTTTCCCTTCCCTGCACACATGCCAGTAGGCAGTATAGGAGGCAGCCAAGGTGCTCCTTAAGCACTGCTAGTGTTGGGGTGACACTGGAGAAATCAGGCTGAAGTGAACAGAAGGCTGCAGATATTTCACAAAATGGACCAGCAGGAGTCAACCCTACAAGTCGTCTCTCTTCTGACTTGGCAGTTTTCTCATGACCATTCTTTTCTTTTCTTCCGTCTTTGTCCCTTCTATGTGCTTCTCTGCCACACCTTCACCTGCTTCTTCCCTCTTCTGTCTGTTTCTGTCCCACCTTGCCTGGCACGTGCTGGGCAGGCACCTCTGTCAGCCTCCTTGCTGTGGTAGTTATTGTGTGTGGCGTGGCCTTGGTGGCAGTTTTTCTCTTTCTCTTTTGGAAGCTGTGCTGGACACCCTGGAGGAACAAGGAGACCTCCAGCCCCTCTTCTGCTAACCCTCACTTAGAGGCCCTCCAGAGCCCCAGCTCTAGAAGCAACATGGCAGACAAAATGAAGGACCCCAGCACCCTAGGCTTCCTGGAGGCAGCGGTGAAGATTAGCCACACATCCCCAGATATCCCGGCCGAGGTGCAGATGTCAGTAAGGGAGCACATGATGCGTCACACACGGCTGCAGCGACAGACCACAGAACCAGCATCATCCACCAGGTAAAGAATGTGGCCTGTGCTTCCTAAGCCTCACATGCCTGTGTTTCTATATTGAGTGCATTAATGAAATTTCATCCTGGGAAGATCAGAGGCCAGAAATAACAGTACATGTCTGCTGAGGAATAGATCAAATGATGTGGTCCTTAGTGGGTGATCAGAGAGGAGGTGGGCAGCAGGAGAGATGTCACTAAAGGGGACCTTTTAGGGTGGGGTGCTATGCATGTGGTGTGCATTTGGGATGGCTGTGGTTGGAACATAACAGTGGAGCAGGGGGTGGGTGCTGGAAGAGAATATGTAAAGAACCAGTGGCGTAAAAGCTCCTGGTGTGTTTGGAGATATGTTAGTAAAGTCTTGCATAGCTACAGCCCACAGCACATGGGAAATAAGGCAAGAGAGTCCTCCTTGAGAAGGAGTCCTCTTGAGGACTCCTTTCAAACCTCTCAGAGTTCCCTGCATGACAGCCATTGTATATGTGGCATCCTTTAATTCAAAACAGTACTAACAGCAAACGCATAATGACAAAAAAAAAACTGCTTTGAAATAAGAAATACATTTTAAAGATGGAGTACTTGTGGGTACAAACTTGCATTTACTCAAAACTAAAACTTGTGCTGAAAATTTAGGGTTCATGTGGATTCCTGGGTCCCTAAAATTTTCCTCCAGGCTTCCAGGCACCAACCACAGGGAGGGAGAGCTGGTATTTAGAATGGGGGCCAAGAAGAAGGGAGCTCAGGCAAATTGATCATCTTTCCTGAACCTTGCTTCTCCCCACTATAAAATAGAGCTAATGACTCTTACAGACTGTTGTGAGAAGCAAATTAAAGTATCCATTTGATACTAAGAGCTAGTATATATATTGATTATTATATACCTGGCTTAATTCTTAGTATTATACAGCTCATACTATCCATGTGTTAATGTTTTTCACCCTCACAACAATTCTGTGCAATTACTTTTATTATCCTTATTTTTCTAGTCCAGAGAATTTAAATTACTTGTTCAAGGTTGCATATCTAGAAAGTAGCAGAGCCAAAGTTAAGCCATGCTGTCTGACTCCAAATTCTATCCTTTTAGTCACTCTACTGCCTGTCATATGGTAAATAATAAATGCTGATGGTGGTGGTGTTGATGACAATGGTGATGATGATGATGATGATGATGGAGAGAGGTCCTTCTCCCAGGGGACTCATGGATTAATGGAGCAACAAGAGTCATACTTACTAGGAAAAAAACCTAGAAAGCAGGAAAATGATTGTAACAATGGCTCACATTTATTGAGCTTGCTATACACCAGGCACCATTCCAACTACTTTACATATATTAATGCTTTCAACCACCTTATGCACAAAATGTGTGCAAAGGAAAAGTGGGATCAGAAAAGGAGGCTCTACAAGGGTTAGAATGATCCAGTGCAACCAAGGTTGGATCTTCCTGAGTCCCCTTCCTTGAGCATTGACACACTCTTTTTGCCCCTCCTGCCCTCTGCCAGGCACACGTCCTTCAAGCGCCACCTGCCTCGGCAGATGCATGTCTCCAGCGTAGACTATGGCAATGAGCTTCCACCAGCAGCAGAGCAGCCTACCAGCATTGGCCGCATCAAACCTGAGCTTTACAAGCAGAAGTCGGTGGATGGGGATGATGCCAAGTCTGAGGCTGCCAAGAGCTGCGGGAAGATCAACTTTAGTCTACGCTATGATTATGAGAGTGAGACCCTGATTGTGCGCATCCTGAAAGCCTTTGACCTCCCTGCCAAGGACTTTTGTGGAAGCTCTGACCCTTATGTCAAGATCTACCTCCTGCCGGACCGCAAATGCAAGCTGCAGACCCGGGTGCACCGCAAGACCCTGAACCCCACCTTTGATGAAAACTTCCACTTTCCTGTGCCCTATGAGGAGCTGGCTGACCGCAAGCTGCACCTCAGTGTCTTTGACTTTGACCGCTTCTCCCGCCATGACATGATTGGGGAGGTCATCCTAGACAACCTCTTTGAAGCCTCTGACCTGTCCAGGGAAACTTCCATCTGGAAGGACATCCAGTATGCCACCAGTGTGAGTACACCTCTGTTCCCTTGACTGATTGAAGACTTTCTGAGCTGGGTGGGATGGGACATATCTCTGGTTTCCAAGCCTTAGAGACACATGAGCCTTTACCCTTCAGAATAAGGGAAACTAAACTGCCCAATGATCTGGTTCACCTGGGGAAATCCTTACATTCTACCCAAGTTGGAGTGAGAATAGAAGAGACCCTATGTGAGTGGAAAAGCAAGCAAATTTTTAATCTTTTTATTCCAATGATACATTTTGCGGTGGTTCTCAATCTGCAATGTCTCAGGTTGGCCCTCTATAAAATTATGTTATATGTTCCTTTGATCCTGGGTAAAGACTGGAACAGGCCCATAGACTGAATCGGATGGTATCATCTACTAAAGGCATTGATGTGTACTAGAACCTTGGAGTAGCAATCAAGAACACACTGTGTCAATCAGGATGAACAAGGTTATGCTGAAGCTACTAACAACCCCAGGAATCTGTGACTTGAGACAAGTGAGGTTTACTTGTCATCCATGTTACATATGTTTTGCAGCTTGGCTTAAGGATTCCACTCTACCTTGTTACCCAGGGATCCAAGCCAACAAAGGAGTCATCTCAACATGGGTGCCCACAATTAAACATCAGGAGGGAGAGGATGTGGCAAATCATGCACTGTTCCTTAACTCTTTCATGCAGAAATGACATGGCACTTTCACTTACATTTCATTAGCCAAAGTCAGACACATGGCAACTCTTAATATCAAGGAGGGAGGAGCAAACCAATCTACCATGTGCCTGGAAGGAGAATTGCAAAAAAATAATGAACTGGTGACTGCACAAAGTAGAGGCCCTAGTATTAGCAGTTGTCTTCAGTGCAGCATGGGAGGTAGGCAAAGATAGCTCAAAAGAGAAGGGACTAATCCATACATGGGGGCAGATCCTGGGCTTTCTGCATCACCTAGATTAGCCAAGGAAGGTCTCAAGGAGTTCAAGGTGGCTTTTAAGGCAAGGGAGGACAGGTTTGGCACTAAGAAATAGAAAGAGTGTAACTCAGGAGTCCCCAGTTGTGCTAGCACGCACAGTTCCCCGGGATGAGGAGGCCATATCCATATAGCACATCGCATGGGGTAGCTAGTGTGTGCCTCTCTGAGCTCACTGGGGCAGGTGAGAGCCCCAAAGGGACCAAGCTCTCATGGCCTTGAATTCAGGGTCTTGAGTGCTAATTGTTATGGGTATTTCTTGAGCCCTACCTGTGCCAGAAAGGTGACTCAATTCTGTAGACTGCTTTTGGACAGTCTGTAGTCAACATTTCTGTTAAATTTTCAAGGAGAGATGCTTAGATCGGTCCTGTTGACTTCCCAGTGGCAAAGAGTACAAATCTTGATTTACTCGAAGAGAAGAGTCCTGGTGGACTCTGCTTCTGCCATGGGAAGGGTCTCAGGGTTGTCTTGTTCTCATAGCCAGCAGTGACTCTGACCAGCCTAAAGTCCCCATTCCTCTCCCACCTTTATTTTCCTGAAGTGGCGTCTCCAAGAACAGCTTGAGCAGCTGGCAGGACCTGGAGACAGACGGGGCGGGCAGACGGGGCGGGGCACACAGCAGCTGTGCAACAGCCCGGGCCCATGAGCTCTGCCACATAAATCACTCTGAAATTTACATCTGGTGCAGCTCTTCCTTTGTCATCTCCTAAGGCAGTAGCTTCATTATGGTGACTGTACAGGTGGAGAAAGGCAGCTCAGCACCCAGGGTAGTGAGGACTGTGGTTACAGAGGCAATGAAAGCTTTTCTGCCTATCACCAGTGTCCCCACCTTTTTTTCCTATGCCCTCAGCTTCAGGTGTAAGTAGAGCTTCACCCTTCAGAAGGCAGTACATGCCCAAGCACACATTGCACCTGAGTATACTGTCCCACATCCTGGCACTCTATGGTTTTTGAATTAGCGTCCCATCCCCACTTTCCCAACCCAGCTTCAGAAAAGGCAGGCCTTACAAAGAGCATCAGAAAAATCTTCACCATTTTCATCCTCCTCCGTATCACTATAGCTGTTCTGTACCTCTTAAGAAGATTGTGCTAGGCACAGAGAGCAGGGTGGGGACTGAAGCTCCTTTGACCAGTGGGAGGGATCATGTCTGTGCAGTAACTGTCAAAACAATCCAGCAAATACTACCTACTGCGTGCAGTTCCAAGAACTCCGAGAGCAAGGACATTCAGGAAAGTCACAGAGATGAGGGAAATTAAACTAGGTGTAGAAGGGTGAGTATAAATAACTTGAGCATCCAGGAGGAAGGGAGTGCATTCCAGCTAGGCCCAGAGGGGTTCCAGGCCTGGTATTTCCAAACTTGTGGAGATGGGACCATGCTCACACACCTGTTTTGCATGCAATTAATCTAAGGAAAGTTCTCCTTCATGTGAGTCCCCTGGGGCCCCTCAACCTGTAGCCTCACTGCCAAACACAGGCCACAGGGGCTCAGTCCTCAGGCTCAAGCCCTGGCAAGTGAATACTCAAGCTAAGGAGGGGGCAGGGATGTAAAGAGGCTGGTGATTCTACCTATTTTGCAGGACTGGCTGTGAAAATTTAATTATCTTGGGCTAGGTTGACCTAAGTCACAGTCACTGCGAATGTCTGAGCATTCAGTGTGTATGAGCTCCTGCAACCACTATGATGGGAAACAGATGAGTGCAGCTGACGGCCTGCTCACTTCTCTCTTGTGTCCTGATTTTGTTCCCAGAATTACATGTTGGGCCTGAGTTCAGAATGCCAGCTCCCCTGACACAGCCAGCCTATTCCCTCATCATGTGTGGCACCTGCCTCTTCCTTTTGCTCACAAGGGCTCTGTTAAGCAGGCCTGACCCCCACCTCTGAGCAATCTAAACCGATTCACCCTCCAAAGATTCCCAGAAATTCTTGCACCCACCCCTCTGATGTATTCTCTGTGTCCCTCTGTGTATCCCTGTCATATTCTGTCTGGTAAAGTCCTTTAGTCCTCCCAGTGGAGGTCTCAGGCATGGCTATGTCCCACAGTTGACTTTTTCCTGTATCTTACTTCTGGCTGGATGTGAGAACCCAGTACACTCTCGGATGCCTGGTACTTAATTCAATTAAAATTACATACCGATGTGCAAGGAAAGGATCATCAGGCAACAGCTGGGCTTGGGTGAGATTAACCTGGGAAGGCTTCCTGGTGAAAAAGCTCCAGTAAAGTTTTTGAAAATGGGTAGAGCTCGGCTTTGTAGGAAAAGACTCTTTGTAGGCTTTGTGCATGGTTCAAAGGGATGGACTGTTTAGAAGTAGCAAAATAACTTCTAATTGTCAAATAAATCAAGCAGTCTGGACCAGAGCAGGGGGCTAGCGGCCCCCAAGCTGAGCAGGAGAGGCACTCAGGCTGCTGTTCTGTGGTCACATGAGTGCCATGAAGACTGTCCTAATGGTTTTTGGGATTCATGTGGGAGTGTCAGAGGCAGCCTTGACTTGTGGAATGAGGAGGGCCCCTTACCAGCACTTGAGTTGAAATAGCAAAGCTTGATATTTTTGTTTTGTGTTAGCCAGTAATCACTGAGCTTCAAAGCTAATAAACAGGAAGGAAACATCCCAGAGTTTTGTTCCTTGTTGATTGCAGATCATAAGCCACGAGGGACTATAGCCCTCTCCTCCCAGGATGATCTGGGGGGAGTCCTGGGTGGCCTAAAGCTCATATACAGCACCAACCAGAGGGTGAGGGCGAGAAGCCAGCAAATGGGATCTGCTAGCGTAGCTGGAGGTATCTAGCCTTCCACTGAATTAAGAAGCTCAGTTTGAGAAGGAAATGGAGGGAGTTCATGGTTTCCATGCACACCCCAGGCACAGTTGTTCTGACATTGCTGTCCTTACTCCTGCCTGAATGTCTAAGGTCTCTAGTGGTCTCCTGGGCATCCGCAGGGTCTTGGCCACTGCCATTCTGACCGGATCTTCAGTTGCCTAAAACCACCCTGCTCTTCCCCCTCCCCCACTCGCCTACCCTCAGTCTCATTATTTCTATATAAAGCTGCAGATTTATCATTGTAACGGAGCTGCCGTCACCAGGGTTTGCTAACATCTTTGTAATCCTGTAGCTGTTGCCAAAGAGACCTCAGACCCGAGTGCACACAATTCCCACTGCAATTCCTACTTCTTCGTTGTGTCAGGAGGTGAAGGCTATAATTGGAGCCATAACATATATGTTGTGCTTGGTGGTGTTAATGGACTTGGGCATCTTCCTGCCTGCTAGCTGCCCACTAAGTTAGTGGGTGGTGTGTGGGTCGTGCATGAGTATGTGTGTTGTTTTGGGGGTGATGGAGTGTTATGTGTACCTCCAGTGGGTCTGGACTCCAATTCTGCAGGGAGAAAGGGAGGCTGAGGTCAAGGAATAGCCTCCACCCCTGGAATGAGCAGGACTGTGCAGAAAGAGCTCAGGCTTTGGTACCAAACAAATCTGTTACATTCCAGCTTCCATACTTTCCAGTTTTGAGACTTTGGGACATTAAATAAACAGTGTCACCATCAGCAAAATGTGGGTTAGTAATGGCATCTAATCCATGGTGTTATTATATGTTGCAAACAAAATACAATACACAATCTACCGAGGGCAGCATTATCAACCAGCTCCCAGCAGCTTCCTAGGACCAATTCCTTTCCTGCTGGCTCAGCCTATGGATAACTTCTGTATCGCTCCCAGCTCCACCTTCCACTTGGGTCCAGGCCACCTCTCATGACTGGTTGTTAGACAGCACTACATAGTCTCCCAGTGAATGCCTAAAACCTCAGATAGTACCAAATAGACACGTTTGTTTCTATGCATAAATAACTGTGGTAAAGTTAAATTTATAAATTGGGCACAGTAAGAAATTAGTGAAAATAATGAATAATAAAATAACAATATACTACAATAAAATTGATCAAATTGTGATTTGGTAAAATGACAATCACTTGCCCAAAAGCACTGTGATACTGCAGCAGACTTTCTTCTAACAAAGATGCTGAGTGACTAATGGGCAGGTAGTGTA